CGTTTCATATCCACACCACAGAAACACACCGCCAGCAATTGTCCAACCTGTTCTTGTGAGGAAAACACGCATGGTGACGGGATAAGGCATGCCTACTATTTACCCTGAAAAATAATCAGTCAATCAAGATGCAAATGTAACCGCTAACCCGAGCACAAAGCTTCAAAAGATACGGCGAAAGGTAAATGCAATACAAAAACTTGTCGCAGGAAAAGACTTCAATCGCATTTCACTAATGTAACAATTTTCGTCAGAAAGTACGACTGCCATTGAAAAAAAGAATAAAAACTTAAATTCAAATTTTTTAAACTTTTTGTCGTTTTCCTAAGGAACAAGCATTCCACTCTTCCACTGAAACTGCAATAAACATTAGTTTCAAAAGATATTTAAAACCACGTTTCAATACAAACAGTTAAAACAAAAACCTTGGGGTCGCGTATACTAATTATGAAAAATTTGAAGAGATCAATTGGCGGAATGGAGTAGCCAGTGGCATTCTGCATGAATTAGTTTGCAACCACAGAGCAAAATCTGAAGACTAAACTGTCGGTGTTCAAGTCTTATCTTCAATCTTTATCCCAATGCTTACCTACAGTCATGAGCAGTGGCTGATGACTGAAAAATTTCGATTCCGGGTACAAGTGGCATGATTTAATACAGCGCACACAGACAGAGGTATAACATGATGAAAACGACTAACCGGTCAGTTTAAACGTGGTCCTTTATTTCCATGTCCTGGAACGAAAACTTGTAATAAGATTTATCATCCTCGTTTGCGTGATTAATTTCTGGTCGACGGTTTAATAACGTTGATAAAAATTTTACATCTATGTCGTCACCCCTCTAAATATAAAATCGCCATTCTCAATGTAAATCTTGTTACTGATCTCTCAATCTTGAATCAGTGTGAACTTCAGAAAATATTAACGATATCATTTAAAAAAAACTACGCTGAAAAGTTCTATGTCCAAATGTGTTTATCACTTTGCTAGCGTCAGATGGATGTGGTTATTTTGATCAACAAATCGTGGCGACCGAACCGAAACGGTCAAAAAATCTAAAAGCAGAAATCTGCTAGGGCAAAGCAAAGCTTTGCTACACAAATGAAGTTGACGAACTCTGCAAGAATTTTACTGAAGAACCGGAAATCAAGCTAGTAGCTAAGGTTAGCAACCCCTAGCGGGTCAGGCTATCAAGTTTCACTAACAGTTGTTAACAAGTGGTAATCTAAACTGTCGTTTGCCATGTCTGACATGACATATCACAAGCTAAACTCCACGCAAGACTGGCTACGTGATTTATCCAAAATTTTCGTGATGTCATTTCATCACCGACAGTTTTCAGTCATGTATTTTTCGACCAGTTCTTTCCCCTTGCGTGTCAACACGGTCTCAAACAGTGAACCGTCTGTTGTCTCCTGTAGAATAGCGTCATTCAGTTGGTACAGCGACGTGGAACTCAGGTACCGGCTTCGAGGCTTGGCGGAGGACACTCGCCTATCTTCCTTCCGAGGTTCACAAATCAGTACCGCTCTGTGGTAAGGAAACAGAGGAGTACACGGTGTGTCTGCCATATAGCCAATGTCGACTTTGCCTTTAAAACAAGACACTCGTGGCTAACAGCATGAAAATAGAAATCAGTGCTCCCAGATTAACGTCATGGCACCATAATGAAAGTGTAAACAATACCGTCACATCCCAATGGTTACAAATTTTCTTGTTTCATTCCATTCGCCCTCCCCCCCCCTTATGTGTGTTTGAAGAGAGAAAACGGATGTTGATATCCGCGGTAAACGGCAGATATCTTGAGCAGGCCTGTGCAACCTACAAGAAGGTAAAGATCTGAGCAACTGCACCAGTGCGCCAAGGGCTCTAAAACAACTCTGCTCGTTCTGAACCTTCTGCTCCAAAATTTCTCCAAAATTCGTCATTCATTAGTTTTCCGCAAAATACAATCAACTTCACAATCTTCGACATTTAAAATTTTGAAAGATGTTCATTATGGCAAGAGGTTCGCAAATCAGAAATTGACTGAGTGGCTAATATGAGGATCGCCGTTCTAGCCACTCGCACCTTTTCATTTCTGGTAGGCGGTTCCTACATGTTTGCTGAGGCACCCGTTCAGGAGTCGGACTCTATACCAGTACATTTTTCGAAATATTACACTCAATTCCTTCTAGAAAAAATTCGCAATGTCTAAATTTAACGCATACGCTTGCCAGAGAGCCAGATTCCGCTCTTCAATGTTGAGCCTCAGCGTATAAACGCTTTCTCCAGGAGGCCAATTTACAATACTGTTCATCAGCCAGGGGTTCCCCAGTATCGCGAATGTGTGTCGACGTGGTTGGACCACTTTTAGTGAAAAAAACTTTGTCGTCTTGATGCAAAAATCCCAGGAATAGTGGTTCTTCGAGAGGTTAGCAGCGCTGTGCTTCATGGAATAGTTGTTTTTAATTTCCAGTCAGGAAGCGAACATCTCAAATTCCAACAGTAACGATTCGTTCATTTTATTGGTTTATGTAAACCAACTTAAGGACACGTTCGAACTCTGTACTGGTGACAGTTATCAACCTCAAAATTATAGCCGATTCCCTCAGAAGGCTAAATGGCAACTTGGATGGCTGTTACGTGTAGACACCATGGGAACACTGCTACATTCTTTTCGAACAAACCTTTCTGTCTAAATTTTGAACAGGTCCGTTATTGACCTGTGAGAAGAACAATACAATATGATCGTTGTTATTGCATTTTTTCTGTTCACAGTACATTCAGTGGCGAAATGCTCTTAGTCTAAGCCAAACCATTCAATCACTCGAGCACTGAATGCCCTGTTGTCAGCAAGTTTCAATGTTCAAGCCAAATATGTAGCGGGGGACAGAAACGAGATTTGCAAATTCTTTCCCCGATCAAACTGGTATCCAAAAACAGGAGAGAAAAGAACAATGATCACACACGACATGAATGAGAACAGAGGCATATAATTGACTGAAACTATAACCGAAATTTCAGCATGTCTTACAAATGCTTCGGAGGGCGAGATGTGGGAGCAGTTAACCTGTCATTCTGAACGCTGTTGGCGGCTGTTTTGAAAATATTTCCTTAAAGCTCGAAAGATCAAATCAGCACTAACGAAAATTTTCATGCAACCTAATGCCGAGTCCACTGGAAAACCTGAGTCTATTGAACCATATTTTTATGTTAATCCTGAAATTTGATGCCTGAATAAAGTACGAAAAGCAATCATTTTGGAGCAAAATACAAAACTGCAAAGTAAAACAACAATTTCATAACAGCCTTTCCTAGCAAAGATTCCAATTCAGAGCGTTCAGCTTAAAGGAACATAATTATCTGTTAAATTTTGGAAGGACGTCAGAAAACTTGCCGGCTAGAGCATAGGTCGAAAGACACTTCTTAACAAGAGAGTCATCGTCACCTCATTCCTAACAGCCCATCTATTTGGTAGAAAGTTTAAGATTTCAATCTTGCTGGCATCAACGTCGTCTGGAACAGATTGGATATAAAGCAGGATATGCGTCTTGACCAGTTCAACGAGATCATTAGGCACAAATTTCAGCGCATCTATTAATTGTAGTTTGTAATTACTAATTAGTACTGGGCATGACACATTTTGGCGTCGAAAATGTCGCACTTGGAAATTTTGGACTAATATGTTTGGTGTGGCGGCTCGACCATTTGTTGTCAAAATATTTAAATCACTATCCCTCAAAACTATTGCAAAAAATATATTCTGAGGTCGCGTTGAAAGTTCGAAGATTAAAAAGCAAAAATTAAGATCAAAATTAAAAAATTAACGTGAATTTATTGTTGAGAGTTTATTAGGAGCAGCAGATATTCAGCTTGTTGGTGGAATGCATAGGCAAATAACCTGCATGAATCGAAAACTGGCATTTAGGTATCGGGGATTCTAATCCACATAAAGGGAGACAGAGGTGATCTGTAGAACTAAAAGTCGATCACCTTGTTGCCAGTCATGTACAAGATTTCACTAAAGGACTAACAAACATACATGAAGAAAAACAGGACGTTGCACAGTGAAATAAGCAAGCAGGAATCAGATATGAATTTAGTACCACGGACCATAAATCAGACAAGCAACGAAAATCAGCTTCCTCTCTGCCCTTGGTTCGTTTACTCTGATAACACTTTCGAATTCAGTCTACATCCGTTCTGTATTGAGTTTCTTGAAGAGACAAGGAATCGAAAAAAGATACAGAGACTCATCAAGAATGCAGCTGACAGTTTGCAGCTTTACCAAAGCAAAAGCAAGTTCAAAAAAGTAAAAAGTGCCCGATAGGGAGACGCAATCTCACTGAACTTATTCACAGCAGCCCAACAAAAGGTTTTAAAGACACTCCGCTGAGAAAAACAGAAGCTGGACACTACTTAAGCCACCTAGGCTTGCGGACAACATTCTGATCCTCTCATGATCGTCAAAAGTATTCAGAAGAATCCAAGAGATGAGCAACGCTAGTAAAAATATTAGTTCTGAAAATGAACATTAAAAAGTCTGATCACGTGTAACATACATTACAGCACGACCTGTTCAACGGACTTAGGCTCGAAGAAGTGTAAAACGACGTTTATCTAGGACAGTTCATCTGCGTAATATCAACAGAAGAATAAAAATGGCACGGATCACTTTTGGAAGGCTGAAAACATTCCTACCTGGGAAACTGCCCTTGTGCTTAAAATGGAATATTTTTCGATGAATGTGTATTCAGGGAAAACCTGTGGATGCGAAATGAGGGCCTTAAAGTAAAAGCGAATCATAAACTGCAGAATACCAACACAGCAGGGAAAGACGTGCTGAGTATCGTAAGAAAAGATGGAAAATCGAATGAATAAGAACAAAAACACATAA